GAATTTTTCTTTGCGGTGATTTTTCTATCAATTCCTCTCTAAGAAACAGTGTTATTCCAAGTTGATAATATTACCCATTTCTCAGCTTTTTCAGTCAGCAGCTTGTCTGAATAGGACAAGTTAGAGCTATTAAAGTTATCCTTACTATCTTCTCATCTTGATCCTTTCTTCTCTAACTTGGCTTTTACTTCAACCTTTGCTCTAACTGATCAATGATTTGCCTACATGCAATCAGATCATTCTGAAATGACTCCTTTAGTAACCAGTGATTTCCCTCCATTAAGATATCATCAGTTGCTTTTTAAAAATTATGTTGTTTGGTCTTTGCCATACCCAGTGCCTTGCACCTCTTTTTCTTGAAGAAAGCATTCGTGATATATGAGTGAAGCTGTAAACCTCTAGCCTTTTTCAATTCTTAATTCAAGATTATATTTTCCAACCCTTTTCACTATGCTTTCCTGTGCTCACCATCACATTAATGTTGTTAAGTGTCAAGGTTTATGTTGACTTGATTTGGAACGCTTTGTCCAGTTCCTCCCAGGATGTCTTTACTTCATCCTTTACAAGATGTTGAGGTATGTGGGGTGCTCAGAAGTACAAGAATCTCTGGTGTGAGGTCTTGCCGAGCCCTTTTCAGGGCTGCACATCCACCTTTGGGGTCAGCCTGTCATTCAACTCTCACTTGTGGCTCCAAGAAGCTGTAGCACATGCAGTGGCCACACCATGGCAAAACCCTATCAGTTTCAGGGTAATTGACAGGCCTCAAACCCATTGGTAAGTTAAGGGGCAATGTAAAACATGTGAAGACTTCCCCCAGTGGCATGGGCAGATGAGAGCAATTTGTTCCAATGGCCATGACAGTGGCTGGAGCAGGTGCTGTGGAGTGCTTAGAGCTTGGTCAGGCATGGAAGGACGCATGCAAGGGCTACTGCCAGTCCTCTTGACTTTTGTCTTGCCACTGGACTTTCATAACTCTGGAAGAGAGAATAAGGCTGATGACTTCATGTAAATCTTCCCCATTTAAATTCAATTCATACACCAGTCAAGACACCACTTGGTGATGCCACTGATCCTCTGAAAACAAATGAAAACAAAACCAAGGATATCTGTTGGGGGCATAGCTGAAAATGATTTCTTGGTGGTCTCTGTTTGCTTGGACTCATCATGAACAGTGCAAAGCAAGATGACCAATTGTCTCATGAGATGATGTTTCTTCTTATCTTGCCATTCCAATGAAACCAAAGCTACTAATTCATTTATTTCTTCACCATAAAACATTTTTCCATTCATGTCAGTGGATAGAGTGCTAGACCTGGACTGAGGAAGACCTGAGTTCAAATCTAGCTTAAGACACTGTATAACCTTGAGAAAGTCATTTAATTTCTGTCTTCCTCAGTTTCCTCATCCATAGAAAGAGGATAAAGAAGGAAATAAGCATCTATTAAAGGTAGCTAGGTGGCTCAGTGGATAGCACACTGGGCCTGGAGTCAGGAAGACCTGAATTCAAATTTGGCCTCAGACACTCACTAGCTGGTGTGACCTTGGGCAAGTCACTTAACCTCTGTTTGCTTTAATCCACTGAAGAAGGAAATGGCAAACCATTCCAGTACCTTTGCCAAGAAAACTCATTAAGAGTCAAAAAGGAATGAACAACAATAAGCTATTATTAAATACCTACTATGTGTCAGGCACAGTTCTAAGCACTTTATTATCTTACTTGATCCTCACAACCACCATGACAGATGGGTGTTTTCCCTTATTTTACATTTGAGGAACTTGAGGCAAACAGGGTTAAGTGACTTACCCAGGATCACATGCCTTCTAAGTAAGTGTCTGAGGCTGGATTTGAACACAGGCCCAGAACTCTATCCAAGTGTCATTTAACTGCTGCTAATAATAGCAACTATCTCCCAGGGTTGTTGTGAAGATCCAATATTTGTCAAGTGTTGTGTGAGCCTTAGAGAGCTATCTAAATACTAACTATTGACATCATTGTCATCATCATCATTAGCAGTAGCGAGAATGTCAGTATGGATATGGTTCAACTCATCTACTATTATATCTACTTCTTGATCATTAATTAACCCCAAAGAAGCACTTATTAAACTCCTACTATGTGTCCATCACTATGCTAAGCACTAGAGGCATAAGAACAAACTGATCCCTGCCCTCAAAGAGCTTACATTCTAATAGAAGTTTTCAACATTCAAAGAGGAGTAGTGTTCGGGGAAGTCACTTTTGGTCTGGCTAGTGAAAGCATAGGGCAGTGGATTTCCAATCCTTCTTTGGTAGCAATAAGAGTAATTATTTGAGGTTTTCCCAGAGCAAGAACAAAATGTTGGGGTTGAGGGGACAGGGAGATGTAAGAAGAGGTGTGACATGAGTGCTGTCAGGGCAGATGGAGATATAGCCACAGTGTGTGGGACTTGAAGTCCTGGTAGATGCCTGGGGGATGTGACACCTGGTCTGGGGCTAGATATAAGAGCTAGGTGAGTTTCTAACTCACTCACCCCTCCAATAATCAAAGAGCTGACACTTACAGAACTTCAAGTAGCATTTGTAGGCAGTCTATAAACTTCCTTTTCTTTAGCACCTCCACTATACAGAATTAGATGGAAGGTAGCATGGGGGCCTAAAGGCCCTTGTGTACTATTGCCTACTTCATGGTGTGCATGGTCTAAGAGTTCCTTGCTTCCTAGCCAACCAATAGGGATGAGTCTGTCTCTCTGACCTTAATGAAGCTGAGCTGTTGGGCAATAGCCATGGCCCATTACAGAGCCCATGCTCCATGACTTTCTAGCTTGGTAGAACTTGTCAGTGTTTGTAGGTAGCTGGTATAAGTTGGTATAGCCTCCAGGAAACCAGGAAACCCTCCATTCCATGGTGTAGCTTTTGTGGACTCTTCAAATAATAGATGCTTTACAAATGTTTGTGGAATTGAATTGGGTTAAATCTTTCACGACCAAGTCTATCCCCTCCTTGCTCCTCTGATCACCTTCTGCAGAACCCACCTTGGTCTGGAATAAGTCCTTAAGTTCTTTTGGTTTAGGAGGGGAATTAATGAGCATTGTTACCATGCCCTTATCAGGGCTTGTTTTCGCCTTTGAATTTGGTGATTGTCAAAGTCCTATGCTGGATTTCTTTCTCAAATACCATGCCTTGAAAGAAACCCACATGTACAAAAACATTGATAACAGCTTTTCCTATGGTGGCAAAGAATTGGAAATTAAGGGGATGCCATCAATTGGGGAATGGCTGAACAAGTTATGGTATATGCATGTAATGAATACTATTGTGCTATAAGAAATGATGAGCAAGCAGACTTCAGAAAAACCTGGAAAGACTTGTATGAACTGATGCTGAGTGAAATGAGCAGAACCAGAAAAACACTGTATACAATAACAGCCACACTGTGCGATGACTGACTTTGATAAACTTGGCTCTTCTCAGCAATGCAAGGATCTAAGACAACTCCAAAAGATTCACAATGGAAAATGCTATCTACATCCAGTGAAAGAATTATGGAGGCTGAATGCAGATGGAAGCACGCTATTTGCTCTCCTTTTCCTTTGTTGCTTTGTTTTATTGCTTCATTCTCATGGTTCCTCTCATTAGTTCTAATTGTTCTTTACATCATGACTAATAGGAAAATATGCTTAATATGAATATATAAGTAAGGGTCTATATCAGATGCCATCTTGGGGGGAAGAGAGGAGTGGGAGGGGGAGAAAATTTAAATCTCAAAATCTTACGGAAGTGAACGTTGAAAACTAAAAATAAGTAAATAAATAGACAAATAAATAAAATGAATAAATGAATGCATGAATACACACATACACACACACACACACACACATATATATATATATATATATATATATATATATACATATATGTATATATATATATATATATATATATAAGATCATGCCTTAAACCCAGGTCACTCTGCATCTCATTGATTGCACAAGTATAGGTGTCTGGCCAAGCACCACTCAATGGTTATTTTTTTGGGCCCTTCAGGCTGAGTGAATGTAAATAGTAACTGTTTCTCTTTGGCTAGCAACCTCGAGGGTCTTCCCCTCCAATTTGATTTTTTTCTTTGTTAAAGGGGCCAACCCTTGACCCAGTTCTTAAAGAGCCCTGTTCCCCGGGCACTGCATCACTCAAAGTGAGAACTTGAAAAGACCTTAGCTTAAAAAGGCCAAGGTCTCTAACTGCATGCTGGGCCAACCCTAGTGGTCCTGATCTATATCTGGTGACTGGCCCCAGATGGCTCTGGAGGAGAAAGCGAGGCTGGTGACTTTGCACAGCCCTCCCTCACTGCAATCCAATTCAGTTGCAAGTCATCGTCATCTCCCTGATGTCACGGTCCTCTTCAAGAACGAAGGACAAACCACACATGATAGGCATGCAGATGGGAAGCCTCATTCCTCAGATGGGTCAACTGAGGTAGGAAGTGTTTGAATGCTGGCATTTTAGAACTGAGGCCAGAGGAGTTCTGTGACATTTTTAAGATTACACAGAGTGTGACAGAGGTAGGATTTTAAATCAGGTTTTCTGACTCTACAACCAGTGTAAATAAAGCCAGAAGGAAACCATACCTCAGTATCCTGATGATTAAGGGGCACCTGGGTTGAAGCTCAGAAGGAACTCCATTCTTTCTGCTCTCTCCCCAGCCTGCCCCAACTTCAATAAAAGCATTGAAATCAGGCAACTTTCATAAATGCCAGGAGACCTGGACAGGTAGATGGGGCACTTCAAAACAAGCAGCCAGGAAGAGAGATGAATCCATTTCAAGTAGTTCAGAGTTTTATTATAAATACAAACTTTTTTTCTTATTATATGCTTTACTCCTATTTTACCAACAACAACAACAACAAAAACCATTCATGTCATCTAAATACAACTCTGTATGTGCATGGGCATGTGTGTGTGTGTGTGTGTGTGTGTGTGTGTGTGTGTGTGTGTGGTGTTATGTGTATATGTGTGCATGTATATGTTGGAATGTTTGTGCATGTATGGGGGAGAGGACCTGCCTGGCCAGAACATTGGCTTTCCAAACCTGAAACCAGAGGATCTCGGAGGCCAGCATTGCAGAATAAGAAAGGGAGAAGCACAGCTAAAAATTGATGCCATTGCCACTGGAAGAAAAGTAGGGGCTGTTCATCAGGGGTCCACTGGATGTCGAGCTAAACCTGCAAGAAAAAAACAGTTGATCTGATGAAATCTCCTGCCATCATCAGCCCAGTGCTTGCTGAGGTTCTCATTTGAATTGGGTGATTGTCAAAGTCCTGTGACAGGCATGGAGATGGGAATCCTCAGGACAGACTCCCATCTGAGCTCTAGCAAAAGCCCAAGATTGCATTCTGATCAAAGTAAAACAATTAAAAGGAGCCTAGTTATTTCCTTTGCTAGAAAAAGGACCCCCCCCACCCCATCCCCAACCTGGATCTTCCCATGTCCATTTTTGTGGGCCCAGGCCATCAGAGAACAATTGGCTTGGCTCATATAACAGAAGTACTAGAAGAAGCCTTGGACATCTACCCCCTCATTTTACCAGTGATAAACTGAGGCTGAGGGAGGGGAAATGGCTTGTCCAGGGGGTCACAGAATGTGAATACCAGAGGTAGGACTAGAACTTGGTTCTCTTGACTCCCAGCTCGGTGTTCTTTGCACTCTCCCTCATGCTACCTTCATCTCCATACCCAGGACCTTGTAGAGGGGTCCCACCCCAATGTTTAGGTAGGGTTGCTGGGTGAGGAAATACCAAAGCTCTAGGCCACGTTCCTGAACCCTCTGGATCTCCCACCATACCCAGGAGGCTGCTGACTAGGCAGGCTAGAGAGTTCTCGGGCTGCTTCTATTTCTAAAGACAGTATCCTCACTCATGGAATCTGAAATCAAAGGAGAGCTCAGGGTCAGACCCAGACAAAGGGATGCCTTCTTGGGGTGCATCTGGAGACACAGTAAGATTCCCTGACCTTTCTACTTCCTTCCCTTCCTTCTTACAAGACCCCAATACTATATTTCATTTTTAGGGCAATAAGCATGAACTAAATGCCTCCTCGCCAAGCCCTGGGTGTTATGGAGATGACAAGGAAAGGAAAGAGTCAGTCCCTGCTCTAGGCAGTTCCTAGTCTAGTAGGGTTGGTATGACTTACACATGAAAACAATTAGGCACTATGACAAGGTTGGCTTGGACCACTGCTAAATTATATACTAGACATGATGCAGGTGTGAAGCCTTGAGGAGTGGGCAAGAAGAGAGAATGGGATTGTCTCAAGCAGCTAACAAAGGCTTCCTGCAGGGGGCAGGATATGGCAAAGGCCTTGAAGGATGGCTGGATTTGGATAGATTGAGGAAGAAGAGCATTCCAGGGAGGCGGAAGTCTTACGCAAAGACAAGAATAAGTTCACTGTGATCACTTTCCACTGCTCTGAGAAAGTTAAGAACTTCTGGTCTAATCTCCTTCAATTTCCCATTTTGCCTCTTCTTCACCTCAACATACGTATTTGTTTTACCCACTCTTTCCTCTTTATCTTGTCTTAAAGGAAGTAACATCATGAAAACAAAGCTTTCCTCTCTCTACCTGCTTCCTTAATACCATTCCCACTCCTTTCCTCTGGGACTTTTCTCTGGTGGTCCTTCCTCTCCTTTATCACTGAATCACAAAGTTGGGAGAAAGGAGACCTCTGAAACCAACTTTTTCAACCCATCTTTTTTACCAGTTGTGGTAAAAAGAAACAGATTTAATTACCAGGTTTCATTGGTATTGGAGCTTCCTCATGATGAGTAAATTCCCTCTATAATGCAGATCAACATATTCTGTGCAATGGGTAGTCTTAGAGAGCTTCCTGGGGCACTGAGAGGTTATGACTTGCCCAAGGTCACACAGCTGGCATGTGTTGGACATGAGACTTGAACTCAGGTCTTCCTGATTGGAAGACTAGCCATACCATTACCCCTCCTTCAACCTATATCAGAAGAAAAAACCTCTTTATAGCACACCCAATAAGCAGTATTTGGTTTGAAGGCCTCAAGTGAAATGGACTAACCACTCACTAAGGCAGCCATTCTACCTTCAATAACTGGTGAAGTTTTTCCTTCTGACAGGCTTAAATTTGCCTGCTTGTAACCTCCCTCCATTGTTCCTAGTTTTGCTCTCTGGGGCCAAGCAGAACACTTCTCATCCCACTCTACTCTAGCTGGCCACATATTGGAATCACCTAGAGGTTTAGGGTTGGAAGGAGCAGAAGCAAGTCAGCAAATCCAAGCCATGTCTGACAAAGAATCCCCACTACAAGAAACAAGACAAATGGGCATCCCAACCCTCACCACCTGAAGACCTCCAAGGAAGGGGAACCCACTTCCAACTGAGGTAGCCCATTCCACTTTGGAATAGCTCTACTCAGTAGGGAGTTTTCCAGCATCAAGCCTCAATTCTCCTAAATCCTCCAACTTCTGCCCATCACTCCTATTTCTCTGTAGTCAAACATAACAAAGCAGACAACTTGAAAACAACTATGATGTCCCCTTGTATCTTCTTTTCCCTAGGTTAAACATCCTTATTTTCTCCAACTAACCTCATAGAGGATAAACTCAGTTATCACCACCTTAGCTATCTCCCTCCAGACTTTCTCCATTGTAATGATCTCCTTAAATTAAGCTTCCAAGAAGAGAACACAATATTCCAGGTATGGTCTGAGAAGGGCAGAATAAAAAAGGACCACCACCTCTGTATTCTACCAAGCTATTTCAGTGTAGCTCAAGATTGAAATCAATTTTCTGGCTGCCGCATATTTTCCATGGTTGGCCTGCAGTGAACTTGTAGTATGCCAAAGGCACCAGAGCTTTTACAGCAGAGAAAAACCCCAAACTGCTGTCTTGCCTTACCTTGCCATTCCTATACTTGTGTATTTGATTTTTTTTGAACCCAAACGCATGACTGTATAAGACAGCTGGTGGCTCAGTGGATAGACCTCTGAGGCAAGAGTCAGGAAGACCTGAGTTCAAATCCAGCCTCAGACACTTCCTAGCTGTGTGACCTTGGGCAAGTCACTTAACCTCTATATGCTTTAATCCACTGGAGAAGGAAATGGCAAACCACTTCAGTATCTTTGCCAAGAAAACCCCGCGGGCGATACTGGTATGCTGTGGTCCATGAGGTCACAAAGAATCAAATGTAACTGAGCAACAACAGTATGACTTTATATTTATTTATATTCAATTCCACTATCATAGTTTCAATTCAAAGCTCTGAATTGTCAAGATCTTTTTTTTGAGTTCTGACCATCATGTAAAATGTGAGCTATCCCTCTCAGCTTTGTGTTTGCTGATAATTTGCTGCATATATCATCTATACTTTTATCCAAATCATTGATAAATCTGTTAAATAGCATCAGGCCAGCAAAAATCCCTGGGACCCTATATTGGGGGCTTCCTTCCCATGACTAACATGGAAAAACAATGGATACCCTTTGAGTTTGACCACTCAACCAGTTCTGATGAATCTTACCATCATCCTATCATGAGGTCCACACTTCTCCAGCCTTCCCACTGGAACAGCATGAGATGCTTTATCAAACACTTTGCTAAAATCTAGGATACCTATCCCTCCAACATCTGCCTCATCTACACACTTAGCTTCCCTGACAAGTAAAGGAAATCAAAAGTGCATGACTTGTTCTTGATGGAGTCATGCAGGTTCTTTGAGTTCACTCCCTTCCTTGATATCCAGGAACTACCTTTTTTAGAGTGCACTCTGCAATTTTGTTGGAAAACAGTCCCTCGCATCAGGCTGTAGTTTGCAGACTCTCCTATTTTGAACACCGGGACACTCACCCTTCTCCAATCCTTCTGTACCTCCCCCATTCTCCAAGATCTTCCAGATATCACTGACAGTGACTCAGCAATCACATTCAGCCCTTCTTTCAGTTACCAAGTATACAGTTCATCTGGGCCAGGTGACTTGAATTAGTCAAGGGTAGCTAGGTGCTCTCCCACTATTTCCATACTTGTCTTGGTTATCAGTTCCCTATTGTACATTTTTGTTCTGTCCATTCTATTTCAAAGGCCATTTTCTGAGGCAGAGAAAAAGGGAAAATAAGAATTAAGGGCCCTTCCTTCTCTTTGTTGTCGGTCATCATGCCATCTACCCCAAGCGCTATTCCTATCATTTCTTTCACTTGCTTTTTTCTCCAATATAGCATCCCTCCCTCCAATCCTCTTTTTGTTGCTATCAGTTTTCCTCACCAGCTTGAGTTTATTCTGAGTTTTCACACACCTGCCCATCTTTTTCCAAACTATGCCATGCTTTTGTATCCATCCTCTGTTACTTGCCCTTACTTCTATCTTCTGCACATTGCTTTTCAAAATCTAAGTTGGCTGGTAAGTTCTCTGTTACATCCATACTGATCTCTTCAGACAGCTCCCGTTTTCTCTCTTCATTGGAGTTGTTTTCCTTTGTGTCTTCAGAATTTCATTCTTAAATTTCTCATTCCTCTTTTACTGACTTCCCCTATAGAATTCTAGTCCATGGGCTCATACTGACTCATCCTCCAAGCTCTTTGAAATCTGTTCTCCTTAAGTCTAGGGTGCATGTAACCATATGCCCAGCTTTTCTTTCCTGTATCACAACCTAAGAGGTAGGTAGAAATCACTTACCCCAAGGCTCCCATAATTGCCTCCTACCCCAGCAACCTATTCTCCCCATTAGAATCAGATCCAGAATAGAATTCCATCATTAGTTCCTCCACCTTTAGAAAGATAATATTTTCATTGAAACAAGTCAAGAAATTATCATCAGCTCTGTTTTTGGCAGAAAGAGTGCCAATAGATGTCTGGATAATTGAACTTCTTCATTATTATCATATTATGCCTCTATGCCAAGCTTGTAATCTCTTTCCCAAAATCATATGTTTATTCTTTCTGTACAGGTGGTCTGTAATATACCCTGATTACAAAATCATGTCAGTTTCTCCATTATCTTCACCCAGATGCCCTCCTACAGTTCCTGGATATCCTCATATGGCTGTCGCTCCTTTATAATGCTACCCTCTGCTTTTTATTGCTATACTGTTTAAAACAAACAGACAAAATAACAATGTATATTGTCATCTAATGACATATTACAGTTGTGGGCTTCTTTGCTAATTTCAGTGATACCTATGATATCAAATTTGCCTCCTTGCGTTACAACTCTAGCTCATTTTACTTGTTGCCTATAGCCCTTAATGAGGCTCCTCTTTTCTATCCTCAGTTCCACATGGTATTTACAGCAGACATGGTTTTCACCATTCTGATGACCTTCCTTTAAACATTCTTGACCTTATGAATATCCTTCTGAAATTGCAGTGCCCAGAAGTGAACACAATACTCCAGATGCTTTATCATTTTAACCTCTCCTATTCAAATGTCTGAGATCTCCTCATCATTGATGGGAGGAAAACTTCTCCCCACTCTGCTATTTCCTGTTCTTATTCTTTCCCTCCTTTCATTCCATACTTGTAGAAAGAGGAAGTTAGATTGACTACCTCCACTTCCTTGGTATCCACTCACATATCAAGCCCCTGCAGTGAGACTTCCACCTATACAGACTCTTCTGAAACAGCTCTAATGTCAGTAACGACCTTCTATTGCTATATCCAATGGCCTATTTTTGTTCCTCCACTTCCTTAATGTCTCAGCAGCATTTGACACTGTCAGCCAATCCCCTAGATGCCATTTCTGGATTCTCTCTCTTTCCCTGATTTCTGTGGCACTGCACTCCTCTAACTCCATTCTTTCTCTCTGTTTCTGTTTCTGACTCTTTTTTTTCTTCTCCATTAATATGTATAGTCCACAGGTTTTAATCTTTGGTCCTCTTCTCTTTCTTTTTCTCCTCTTTCCCTTGGCAATTTCAACCACAGCCGTAGTCTCAGCTGTGATTTCTATGCAGATAATCACCATATCTATTTTACTAGCCATGACCCTTTTTCCAAATGCAGTCCCATATTCCTGTATGCTAGCTGGACTTCTCCACCAAGACCTCAAATTTAATGCATTCAAAATGGAACTCCTCATCTTCCTATGTACCTCCCCCCCAAAAAAAACAACCCACAAGCAAGTACCCACTCTTCCTCCTGACTTCTCTGTACTTACTGAGGGAATGGAACTATCCACCATTATCTTAGTTTCCCAAGTTCAAATCTGCACCCATTTTTGATTCTTAATATTACTTTACCCCCTCCTCCCATCTCCAATCTTCACTAAGTCCTATGGATTCTTCCTTCACAATGCCTCCCAAATCTTTCCTTCCTCTCTTCTCACAATGTGACCACTCTAGTTTACTCCTCTTTACTTCTTTCCTGGATCACTGTAGCCATCTCTTAGCTGGTCTCCCTGCCTCTAGTATTTTCTCTCCAATCCTTCCTTGCTGAAATAATCTTCCCAAAGCACAGATCTAACATATTACTCTCCTTCTCAAAAATAATCCATAATTGCTTTTAGGGCTGAATATTAGCCTGGAATTCAAGACTCCCACCTCTCCTCTAGCTAAACCCTGCACTACAGCCAAATTGGATTATTTGACATCTCCCAAACATACCTTGTGTTTTCTCACCTCTGTTGCTTTGTGATACCGTTCCCTTCACCTCCAAAGCCCTTCTGCCTCATCTCTATAGAAATCTTGCCCATTCATCAAAGTCTAGCTTAAATGCTGCTTCCTTTGTGAGGTTTTCTCTGATCGCTCTGATCAGCAGTGACCTCTCCCTCCTCTAATCTCCTACAGCTCTTTGTTGGCACCTATCCACAGGAATTTTGCACATACTGCCTTGCATTTGAGTTTTTCCCTTATTTTATCTTAAAATACACATTCTATTGGCATCAAGATTTCTAGGGGACAGCCCCAAAGTATTGGATGGAGCCCCTGTGCAGGATTGAAGGCATGATATGAACAAGACTCAGGATGAGAGGGTATGGATGTGTTGTGAAGTGTATCACTGAAAGAAGTAGCTACATTGATGAGATCACAGATGCATTAACATATCCAAGTATTAAATTCTGGGTTTTTTGAGGGCTAGGACTTTGTATCCTCTGCACAGTCTAGCATGGTGGTGGGCACAAAGATGGTGCTTAAGAAATATCTTTTGAATGAATGAATTGAGATTTATTATTGCTGCAGTGAAGGGTACAGTTTGGAAAGAAGGAAGAATGACAGGTAATAATAGCTAGCATTTATAGAGTGTCTTAGGATTTGCAAAATGTTTTATAAATGTTATCTCATTTGATCCTATCTTAGGAGCTAGACACTATTACTAGTCCCATTTTACAGATGAGGAAACCAAGGGTGAGGTTGTGATTACACAGATTACACAGATAATAAGTATCTGAGGCTCAGGTCTTCTCCCCAGGGCTTCCGTAACCTGAGACTCAAACTCTGCTCTTGCTGATTCCAGGTCTGGTGTACCAACCACTGTGTTACCTGGCTGCCCCTGGGTAGGGACAAGTTGTTGAAAAGCTATGAATGTTGAGATAAGAAATTTGAACAAGGTCCTAAAAGCTCGGAGAACTACTGCAGGTTCTTGGGAGCAAGAGTGACACAAGCAAGATTAATCTGGAATCTCTGTGGAGGGAAGAATTAGGTGGGGGAGGGAAAACAGAGCTAAGGACACTAACCAGCATGTTGCTGTTTCACTCTGGGGATGATTTGATGAAGGCCTGGCTCTAGTTACCTCTTCTCTGCAAAGTCTTTCTTGACCATCTATAAGATGTAGGGCTGAACATAGGTGATGTTTATGGTCCCTTCCGGCTCTAAAATTCTGTGCTCCTTGTCCAGTCCGTGGCAATTTTTCTTTCCTGAGCTCTCATCACACTCACATTCTGTGCTCAGAATTTTGTACTTGGTTATAGTCTACCATGTAATGCTTTGTATTATAGATTTCTTGTTATACTTCTACAACTGAGCTGGGAGCTCCTAAGGCCATGGGCCATATCCATTCTTCTGTCTCCCTGTAGCATCCAGTAAAGACCTTGATTTCAGCCACTATTTTGCTGCTCTTATACCAACCACAAAAACCCCCTAGGGAAGCCTGCCTGTGGACTAGTCACACCTTCTGGGACACCATTTGGTACACTATCCAGACCTGTTTGTCTTTATAAAAACTAATATTTTCACAGTGTCCCTACCTCCACCCCAAATGGTTCAGCCTTCCCCCTCCAGATAGATGCCATCTTGGACCAGGGTAGAATTTAGGAACGTACCCATAAGCTTGGGGGAAGAGGTACTGTGGCCCATCTCCTGCCATGGGGGAAGGGTCACGGGGGTTGGTGGACAGCTTGGGAGGTGTCCTCTGTGGGTATGAATAGCCAGGCTGGACAAAAGGGATGTAGTTCAGCAAGGGGGTATACGATGATCTGAAAATCTGCTGTCCCATCTGCTGCGGGTTGTAGGGCATCACCTGTCATTCAGAGAGGAGAGAGGAACCCCATGCTGTCAGGGCAGTTTCCATTCCCACCCCCCAGTTCCCTTCCCTGAGTCCCACAGACCAAGGCCATATCCATGTGTTCCATAGATTATACCCTAAAACCCACCCAAGGCTGTAGTTCACTTTCTGGTTTCTGCCATCACCAAATATAATAGGCTTGATTTGTTCAACCTCAGTCTCTGTGAGTGCCAAATCAGACCAAAAATGGAGGCATACTAAATTTATTTCATCCAACTTAGAACCCCATCTCAAGATTAGAACTGTCCCCATAGACAAGGGCCACCACATTCTATATAGGAAGGCAGAAAGACTTCGGGCCAAAGATGGGGTAAGGAGGAGATCACCCAGCTGACATTTGTTTTCTCATTACCAGGGAAAGACTCTCTCCCACACCCTGTTTCCTCAGAGACACACGAGCTGGAAGAAGCTTCAAAAAGCAAGCTCCCAAATTAGCTTCTTAAGACTAATTTAGTTGGGGGAGGAGGAACAGAAATGCTAGGATGCAGGCCCTTGGGATGGAGAATCCAGGATATTATGAGGCTACTCATAGGTAGGTCACCACTAGGGGTAAGGTCAGGGAGAATGATGGGGCTGCACTGGGAAGGAATTTACCTAGGGTGAGAAGGGGAGGAAATATCTGGTAGATAACTAATTACTCTTGCTAACTGGCTGCTATACTCAGGTGTTTCTGTTTACTAAAGAAGTGCTGTCATCATCCTCTAAATTTTAGTGCTCTATGACAAAGTTCTGATCATCCCACCCTAGTTACAGCTCTGAGCCAAACATCCTACTGCCCCTTCCACTCCCTTCCAAATACTCCCCTACCCTACACATACATACAACTCCCCTGATTGCAAGCATTTAAAGATGTCAAGTCCTGAAAAGGCATGTGAATTCTATACAAGGAGGAGGCTGATGAGTGAGAGAGCAGAATTATGGTTCAAGCTCCTCAGACGACACACATGGCATTCTACCATCCAACGACACCACCTGCCTTGTTAGTCCTGTCTCCTAATGCTCTGTTCCACAGCCTTGAACATGTCCTGTACTCTACTGCCTCCTTACTTTTGCTCAGGCTGTTTTCAGTGACTGACATATCCTCCCAGTACCTCTTGGCCTGTTGAATTCTTGTGATCTTTAAAGCTCCCCCCAAACATCACCTTCAAGAAGGCTTTCCTGATTCCCCTCTCTGTATAAGCCTTCACCTTCAGGTCTTTGCATCTCTCTAGTGCCCGTTTTATGTAACATTGCACAATAGAGTTATCTATATTTGTGTCTTATCCCCACTACTAGGTAATGACTCCCCTGAGAATGGGGCTTAGCACAGGACATACTTATGACATATTTGCTGTTAAAGGCATAAAAGAACAGGAAGAGGTGTTTCCAATATGACCGCAGCTTCCTGGCTTTTGGAAGGGCTAAGGTTCATGACCAATGTGGTCTAAATGTGAAGGATGGTGTTCTGCAAGGCCAGTCCTTCCTGGTAGACAGACTGGATATTCTGACTCCAACACACACAAGCCCCAGAATGCCGTGCTCAATCCATCAGGGACAATTGGAGGGGTTGCTTTGTCTGTCACTGGTGTCCTGAGCTTTGTACCCACCACCAGGAATCTCCTTTGGATGATAATAGGGCGTGAGTTCAGCTGGGACAATCAGATCTACAGACCTAGACTGGATCTTTACTTCCTCTTCAGAGAGACAGAGGATCACAGAACTGAAGCTAGAGGGGAGACCCCAGAGGCTATCTAGTTCAGCATCTTCGACTTACAGTTGAAGAAACTGAGGACTAGAGAGATAACGCCATCTCACTCGCTCAAAGTCACCCAGGTTGTGAGAGTCAGAGGCAGGATGTGAGGCCAGGTCCACATGTTCTCCCTCATAGCAGTGTGTAATGATCCTGGCCTCGGGGCAGCAGGAGCTATGGCCCTGGGTGCATGGTTGACGCTTGAGGAATGCCCCACACTCATCTTAAGAAGATAGAAGGAGATACAATTTGGGAGCTTCCACACCACAGCATTTGCCAATGCACCATTCCCTCAAGTCCCACCTAGCCTCCATGTCTGCCCAAAACCAATGAGATGCCAGTGTGACCCAAGACACACCAGCTGCAGTCCCTCTATCTGTTTCCTTTATACTTCCTTGACATGAACTGCAAGTCCAAGAAGTGTTGATGGAATTATTCTGCACTGCATCCCAGCTGTTCCTGGTACCTTGGCATGATAGAGACCTCCTCAGAGGATGCTCCAGCATGGGTAAAATACACGCAGCCCCATCTGCCCTCTCCTCCACAATCCACTGTGCTTTCTTCTGAAAACCAGGGATTTCACCAACCCCCAGGATTTCTGGGCCCCCATTCCCCTTCTACTATCTGCTACCTTGTCTATCTGCAGCAATGTGAGTACACCAGGGCATCATAGACATCTCAGAGCAATAATAATAATGACAATAATATAATAATTCACATTCACAAAGCACTTTACAGTTACAAAACAACCAGCTCACAGCAAAATATTATAGTCTCCATATGACTGATGAGGAAAATAAGTGGCAGTGACTTGCTTGAGGTCACACAACTAATAATTCTCAGAGGTGGGATTCAACTCAGGGATTCTGACTCCAAGCATGGCACTCTTGCTACTGCACTATGGATGGACAAACCAATCCCTAAGCCCCACCTGGGGCTAGAAGTTCAGTGCTAAGCAAAACCGAGAGAAGTCAGAGGATAAATTTAGGGTGAGAGGAATGAGGTGGGACAGGGCATCCCTGGCTCTGGCAGGCACCACTGAAGTTACATGAAATGTCTTAAGTTAACGATCCTGTCTGGATGCTCTGGTGAGGATGGCACAGCCCTCTGTCACTACAGAGACAATCCAAGAGGCTACCTGGGCTTATGGTGGGCTGCCAAGGGGCACATCATGCCCTGGGGGCTCTGGTTGAATCTCTGACCTATATCTTGGAGAGGGACAATGGACTACAGCTTTGTGGCCCCTGGAATTCCCTTGGCATTCCATGAAGACTTCAGATCCTTCCCTACCCTATGCCCATGAGTGACCAGAGAAGTGAAGAAGGAAAAGAAGGGTGGGGGGCAGGGAGAAGAAAGGGAAGGCTGTGTTTGTGTCTGTGACTATGTCAGTGTCAGTGTTTATGTCTGGGTGTCTGTAGGTCTGGGCCTATGTGGCTGTTTCTGTGTGTGTGTCTAAATTGTATCTGTGTCTATGTCTATGTCTATGTCTATGTCTATGTCTATGTCTATGTCTATGTCTATGTCTATGTCTATGTCTATGTCTATGTCTATATCTATGTCTATGTCTGTATGTGTCTGTTTCTGTGTATGTCTAAGCTATATTTGTGTCTGTATCTGAGTATCTAAATATTTGGGTGTATGTATCTATGTCCCAGAATGACATGGGGGTCAGTGAAGTCAGCTAAGTTTTCTTCAGTGCCTTCTGCTTTTTTCAGATCCCTTTGCCCATTTCCCTCCCCTTCCCCAACATCCTGTTTTGCCTCCAATAACTGTGCTCCAACCCGTCCAGGGACCAGGATTTTTTGATAAAATGAATATCTACTGGTGAGGCAGGTAATGTGCTTCAATAGTTGGATATAGAGGAAATGGAGAGAGAAAGGGAAGGAGGACAAATTTTTAAAGAGGAACCTGGAAAGACTAATGCCTTCCCTCCAACATAGACCCATGGAAGATCAGAGTGAAAGGGCCCTTAGACCATAGAATATAAAATATCAGAACTGGAAGGAACCTTAGGCTATACAGTATAGAATGTTTGACCTGGGAGGGCTCCTAAAACATTGCATGGTAGAGCTGGGAGGATCTGGGAGGTCAAAAGGTCCAATCCCCTTATACAGAGGGAGTAACTGAGGGACTTGCCTGAACCTAGGACTTGGCCCTGGGTTTTCTGGTTCCTAACAGCCTGACAGAAGGGAGCGAGCACTGTACTTGGGACCAAAAGACTTGGTTCCTAGACCCATTTCACTTGCTAACTCTGTGATCTTAGGCAAATCATCTCACTCCTCTAGATCACACATACTCACCCATAAAATGAGCATAATGGTTCCTGACCTAATGATGACACAGGGATACAATAAGAATCAAATTAATTAGTGAATAGGAAATTGCTTTGGAAACCAGCTCTCCATCTGTGTAGTTATATTCCATAACCCTCAGAAACAGATTTGTGATCAACATGTTCTCCAGCCTCTCAAATCTCTCTACACCAGAGACTGTCTGCTCTGCCTTAGTATGACACTGGACCAGATTGCCTTCCTGGGTCTATCTATGTCTGAGGGTTTGTGCCTGTCTTTCTGTCTGCCTGCCTGTCTGTCAGTCTGTATGCCTGTCTGTCTTTGCATGTCAGTGTTTCTGAGATTATTAGTGTGCCTGTCCGTAGGGTTCAAGAGGAAGGAAGGAGAGGGAATGAATAGAGGGAGCAGGAGAAAAGCAAAAGGAAAGTTAGACAGACACACAGAAGGTGGGGCTGGAGGGCTGCCTGGAAGCAGTGACTGGGCACACCTGTCTGGAGTAGCATCCCAGCTGGGGGTGCAGCGCCTGGGGGTAGGGCATCCGTGCTCTCTGCTGATACAGGCCCTGGGGGAGAGAGGGGAGAAGAGACTCAGCACTGGGTCTGCTAGGGATGGGGAAGGGAGAGGGGAATGAAGAGGAAGTAAGTAAAGGGGCTGGGTCTATACTGCCAGGGGCCTGCCCACGGTGTGCATAGGCACCAGTATGACAAAGAGGTTCTAAACCTGGGACTCTGGCAACTACTGGGCCAATGACATTGCATCACTGCCTTGCTCAAGAGCCTACTCTGGCTCCCCATTGTCTGGTGCATCAAAGCAAACTCTCCAGATTGGCCTTTCCAGGGCCATCATCATTGTTATCCCTTCTCTGCAGACTCCCCTGAAGTACCTGTGAGCTCTCCAGTCCCAGATACAGGGTCTGGAGATGAGAAAGCCAGAAAGATCTCTAATTTTATGGTAGAGAAAACTGAGGCTTATGAGAGGGCAGTAAGTTGCTGTCAGTCACTAGGAGGATGACAGAGGTGGACTCTGACTAGGTCCCCTGACTCCAAATGGGGAGCCCATCCCTCATTGCCACACAGCCTCATCTTCCTCCTCCCCCCCCCTCCTCATTCTCCCTCTTCTGCAGTTGGTGTCCCACTAGCCTTGTGCCTTTAGTCTCACCCTTTTGTCTAACCAGGTCAGGGTGCTGACTTCTTCTCCTTTCCCCTAGCCACACCCCCAAATACCAACTTAGGTCCCTGCAGCCCAAGGCTGCAGACAGAGACCTTGAGGAAGAAAGGTGACTGGGCAGAGTGACTTGGCCCTCTTTCTGAGTGCCTCCTTCCAAAGCCAAGGACCATCCCTCAGCCCTCTCTGATCAGCCTTCCTCATTCCCACTAATGCCTAAGCCCATGCTGCTCCTCCTATTCTCTCCATCTCTGCCAGTCTGAATTCTTATTTCCATGCCTGTCCCTCATGCCTGGAATGCTCTAGCTCCCCAGTGCCACACCCAGAAGCCCTGCTTTCCTTCTGAGCTAGGTTCAAGTGCTGCCTTCTGTACCAGGCCTTTCTTAATCACCTTGGCTACTAGGGACTTTGCACTAAGTAACTTTGTTGAATTGTGTATCTGTTTCGTACTATTCTTATGTATGTACAATTATCCTCTCACACCCATAGACCATAAGCTCCTTGGAGGCAGGGATATTTGATTTTTGTCTTTTCATCTCCAGAGCCTCGAACAATGCCTGCCACAAAATAGAAGGTTAATAAAGGTTAATTGATTAAAAACCTACCTCAAAGATTCCCTGTCCCAAGAAGCTTCCCTTCCGGATCCCACATCTGCTCACCTATCAGAGTGCATGTTACTACAGAGCATTTGTTCATTCACACTGTTTGTCAGAGTTGTCAAGTTATTTAGGGCATGGCTCTTGTCTTCCCAACCCTCTCACCATTCCTTGGAGTTGGTCACCCATTCCTAAGAGAATGTCATGTGTTCCTCCCTGCACACAGTAGGTACTCACTCAAACCCAATGTCTATGTCTGTCTGGGCCCACTTGGCTTAGATATTCTTTTTTATGTCAAAGAACTAAGAGTACAACAGGAGCTGGGAGTAAACCACTTCCTTCTAGGTGAATTAACACCTTTTCCAAGCTGAATAAAGAAATAGGTGCTCAATTAATTCTGATTGGTTGGTTTTTTTATCCTATGGCAACTTTTCTCTTAGGGACACATTCATTCACTTCAGTCATCTCATTTGTTCCCTTATAACCCCTCTGAACCAAAAGAAAAAGTTCGAATTTATTCATTTATTCACTCATTCAAGAAACACTCAATGAGCTACTTATTTAGGCAAGAGCCTGTGCTAGGCTGAAGGAGATGCAAAGACAAATATTTAAGACAGGGCCCTGCTATCAAAGTGTGTTGCAGGGTATCACTGCCCTAATTTTACACATAGGGAAACTGAGTCTCGGAGCAGGGTGGTGACTTATTCACGATAATGCTGTGGGTGCTTGTGGACCTGGCCCTGCCTTGTCACAGTGACTCCAGGAGTGGAGCCTTTGAGATCTGAGGTTGTTTCCTGTTTTAACATTATGATTTCCACCATGTTCTATAAGCTGCTGTGGATGCTTCCTGGTTAGGTCAAAGGTCTCTGAAGAGTTGCAAGGACCTGCCATGAAACTCAAAGGCCCAAGGCTCCCACCCTGGAAGCTGCCAAAAGCAGGAACAGCTCAGAGCAAGCTGAAGTTACAAATGCCAAGGACAAGAGGATGATGATAGAAGGGATAGGACAAATACCCGGAGAGGATGGGAAGATAATGCATGCTTCCACAGAACTAGACAAGGGTCCATTTCCAATTTTGAAAAAGGAGAAATAGAGTCTGCCAACTCTAGGCAGGGTGAGTCTGACTCTGATTCCTACCAAATTATAAAATTTACAAAGATGAAATGCAAGACAGTACCTACCTACAAAGAGCTAACAATTTATTAAGGGGGTATGACAGATCTACACATAAATATGATGCAAAACAGAAAATGATAAGAGGCAGGGGAGAGTCAAGAGTGCTTTAGGGAAGTCTGAGAACCCATGGTGGCTGGTCACATGAAGAGAATAAGGGTCAGCCTTCCCAGATGGGAAATGAATCAGAAGTGGTAGCCTTCTTTCCCTTGCCTGTGGTCACCAGCTAGGTCATGTCTTCATCACCTCTTGGCTGTACTATCGTAGTAGGCTCTCACCTAGTTTCCCTGCTGGGCCATAATCTACACAGTGACCAATGCCAAATCATATCCCTAAGGCACAAGTCTACCCTCGCCTGCCTCCTGATTAAAAATCTTCAGTGGCTCCCCATGGCCTAGAGAATAAAATATAAACTCAGTAGCAAAGCATTGAAAGATTTTCATAATGTGGCTCTAATCTCTCTGGTATTTTTCATACACTCTGTGTTCCACCCAAACTGAAGAGGTGAAGTTTGGGGGTGGGAGTGAGGAGGTGGTTGAATATTTGTATACATGAGATATGGAAGGTGTAGTTTAAAAAAATGTGGATCTGGAATCAGAAGAGACCTGGGTGTGAATTCTATCTCTTACTCTTCTTGAGCAAGTTATTTGACTACTTTGAGCATCAGTTTCCTCCTTTGTAGAATAAGCGTAATGAAACCTAGAGCAGCTAACTCACAAGGTTGTTGTGAGGATCAAATGGGGTTTGATTCAATAACCATTAATTAAGTACCTACTATGTGCTAATTTTGTACTTGGTATAGTATAGAGACAAAAATGATGCAACCCCAGCCTTTGATGAGCTGACATTTTCCTGGGAAAACAACATGTATACATATAAAGAATTCAAATAAATATAACCATAGTATCTTTTGGGTGGCAGGGAATGCTAACGAGCTACAAAATTAGAAAAGGCCTCATGTAAGCAGTAACACTCAAATTGGGCCTTCAACAGAACTAGAGATTCCCAAATATAGTGATGAAGAGACAGTGAGAGCAGTAGCATCAAGCTTGAATAGAAACTGGGGCCTCTAATCTTGACATAAGGATCCCTAGGGGTTGCATTGTGACAGTTTTAAAATGTAATATTGTCTATGTTTTATCATATTTTTATTTTATTTCATTTAATAGTTCCCAGTTATATTTTAATCTGGTTCAGTTCTCACTTGGGAGCGTTGTGGGACATATAGAACATTGCAAAGTTGATGGCCAGTTAGCCATGAAGGTCAAGAGTTAGGAGATTTAATGTATATAGAACCGCATACAGACCTGTTTGGCTTCAACACAGTATGGTGGGTAGAATACTGTGAAATCAGGCTGGAAACACTGAGGGGAGACAAATTGTGAAGGGCTTTAACTGTCAAAGAGAAAGGGAGCCAATGGAATTCTTGAATAGGGGAGTGACGTGGCCAGCCCTATGCTTTCAAAATATCCACTTGGCAGCCATGTGGAGGATGGATTTGAAAGGGAAGAGAAGAGAGGCTAGAATTAGGGAGACCATCTAGCAAGTTCTTGCAGCAGATCAGGTGGGAGGCATGGAGGCCTGAATTAGGTGATGGTCGTGGCAGCACAGAGAGGCAAATGAGGAATATGGTGGAAGTCATTGCTTGGATACAGGGAGCGAGAAAATAGGAAGAATGGAAGATGACACTGAGATTGTGAACCTGGGGACCTAGGAAGGATATTGGTTCCCTTGACAGAATAGAGAAATTAGGAAAGGATGTATTGAATGAAAGCATGTATTAAATGTCTGTGGTACATAGGGATGGCGATGTCTAGTAAAGAATTGCTAATGCAAGACCAGAGCTCAGAAAAGAATAGAAAGCTGGATAGATATGGAAGTCATCTACAGAAGTGATTCTTTGAAACTATGAGAGCTGATGAGATTCCCAAGAGGTAAAAGTATAGGGAGAAATGAGAAGAGGGACTAGGGAAGAGTACTGGGGTATGGCCAGAGTTAGTGGCAGTGATGTAGATGGCAATTCAGCAAAAGTGACTGAGAAGGATCAATCAGATAGGTGGGAGCAGAACGAGGAGAGAGCAGTGTCATAAAAACATAGATAGTATCTATGAGAGGAAAGGTGGTCCATAGCAACAGATAACACAGAAGTCAAGAAGAATGGGAAAAGACTATTGGAATTAGCAATGAAAATTACTTATCAGTGTTTGGAGACAGCAGCTTTAAACAAGTGTTAAGAAGTGAAAGGCTAGCATGGATAGCTGTTGTTTTTGCCTAAGAGTGTAACCATGAAAGGAAGGAGAGTTACAGGGTGTTAGTTTGAGGGGAGGGCAGGGTCAAATGGAGACTTTTTTTTTTAAGGATGGAGAGGTCCAGGCACATTTGTAGACAGCAGGGAAGGAACTAGTTGTAATTATATGTAGAAGTGCATTGTGAATTTTAAAGCACTTAGCAATTGAAATAATAACAATGAGGACGATGATGGTGATGATGATGATGATGATGATGATGATGATGATGATGATGATGATGATGCTATCACGAAAGCTCCTTTAGGGCAGGGACTGTTTCATATTTTGTCTTTGGATACCTTGAATCCAAAAGAAGGCATTGAACACAGCAGGAACTTAGTA